ATGGTGAAAAACGTCGACCGCTGTGTCCTAAAGCCCAAGATAAAATCCTCAAATATCTTGTTTTGTCCAAACCCCATAGATATTCAGAGATTTTAGATTTAAACTGAATAATTAATCATCAAAATAGTTGATTAATTTGACAGTTGACAGGCAATTAACTAATTAATTACCTTTATTGTGAAGACACTTAATCTGTCAGTGGAAACAATATGGAAACAGTGGAAACCAATATTCTACATGTGTTTCTGTTAATGCAACAAGGAAATACATGCTTCCTTTTTACTTTAACAGCCTTCAGTCAGCAGATCTCTGATTGCACATCTGGGGTAAAATTCTAAAGTTTTGACTAATTAAAGACACCCCCCTTGTTAGAATAAAACCAACCAGTGTTCCATGTTGAGTCTCAGGTGTTTTGGAACCTCCTGTCCAGTAGTTCTGTTTTTAACATCCTCAGAGGTCTTATAGCGCCCTCTGGTGCTAAACTGGTATGTGTGCAGCAAAACCACCAAACTATCTGCTAAATAATGATACTGCTGAGAATGCTTAATAGTTTTTTTTTCTCTGCCTCAACTTCAGTTGTTTTGCTCTGTATTTGCAGCACAGAGGCGTTTCTGACTGGAAGAACGCCGTCTACTGTGTAACTGGAGGAGTCATCGGGTTTCGAGGTCTGTAACCTGCTGTGTTTGGTTTGATGGTTCACACCGAAGAAAATGTGTTTATCTGGTCCTCACATTTCTTGTGTCTCTGTTTTGTAGCTGGACTGAAGGCTGGAGTCCTGGGATGTGGAGGCTTTGCTGCATTTTCTGCTGCAATTGAATATTATTTACGGTGAACCAACAAGAACAGACTTTGTGGACAAGAACTTATTTCCTGCACATGTGGACAAGAGAAAAAAAGACTCAATGTGAGAAACTCACTTGTATGAATATTGAGATGCGCATGGACCTTTGCTGTAAAACCAGACAGGAGTGATGACAGCGCAGTGGACTGTCTGTGTTTTACAGTGTACGTTTAGTTTGAGCAGAACAACCTCATGTGGAGAATCTCCAGAACCAGAGCAGAGTGGGTTCACTTCTACATCAGAGATATAATGATGATATATAAAAAAAATAATAAAATCTGAGCTCAAATCACTTTCTGAGCCAGAATCACCTGAACTTAGACTCAGATAAACAGTTGTGCTTGTAGAACACTGGTGTGATGTGTCAGTGGTATTTATATTAAAGATGTTTTGGTGAACTTGTTTATTCAGAACTTTTTTTTTCTTGATGTAATTAACAGGCGTGTATAACCAGACAATTTGTCTTCAGTCAATTCTCATGGATTAATCGTACCAACTGGACTTGCTTGAGTTCCTTGAAGATGTTTCACCTCTCATCCAAGAGGCTTCATCAGTTCTGACTGACAAGTTGGGAGTTCCAGATACTTCCATCCTTGAGGATCCATTAACACTGAGTTTTGGTTTCAATTGTTTGTTGCTCCTCCCCCTCGTTATGTGAGTCGTTAGCGCTCCCTCTGCCACAAAGGGGGTTCGTTAAGGTCTAGACCCTGACGAAACCTTTTAAATACACACAAAAAAGTCATATTCTGAGCTATTTGTACACTTTAAAAATTTTTTTTTTTTTTTACCATGTCCATATCAATACACTGATGTTCAACTGAGAAATAATGTCAATATTGTAAGGTGATACACTTTTGAATCATTCCACACTGAAGTGATATTGCACAGGGGTGTACTCACTTCTGTTGTATATTATATCCGATTAGTCACAACAGGGACTAAACGGCAAGTTCAATTCAAACCATTCTGTGTAGCTGTTTGCTGAACAGCAGCGACATTAGAAACAAGCTGCAAAGAGACAGAGTTATGTTAAATGCTAATGCATGTTTTAAGCATAGCACAAGAGTCACATAGTCATGTCATTTATAGAGCAATATCTAATTTGCTAAAATAAGCCAGCTATGGCTCTAAGTTGAACCCATAAACTGTGGCTGCAAATCCCATGTGTGTGTGTGTTAACTGAGCAGGGGCTCGTAAATGTCACATAGGTCACATAGTCTTCCTATGACTGAAGATTTTGCCTCACTAAGTTTAAATTTCCACGAAAAACTTGTATCATGTCATAGCTTGAGTATTTTTTCTTGTAATAATTTCTAAATGTTTCAATTTTTTCCCCTTTCATCTTGCATAAATAGACTTCTATAAATAAAATCCATACCTAATTAGAGGAGGACGCCCACTAGGGTGCTGAGTGCACCAGAGAAAAGCATCAAAGCAGCCATCAAACTGTGCGGAGCACTGAGCCAGCAGGAGTCTCTGTGTAATTACCCAGAAATGTAAAGCTGGTAAAACATATCGAGAACAGGAACTGACTTCTTACTAGGTTTCTTTATTATTTTTTTTATACCCATTTATTCATCATTTTATTGCTGGGCAAACAACTTCTACCTGGAACCTCCATTCTCTTGTTGCTGTGTATTAACATATTAACACTAACAATTATGCATGTGTGCGTGTCTGTGTGTATAAGAACCCATTATTTATGTGTCCTATATTTTTATTCATCCTGGGTGTTTATGCACTATTAACCAGTGTTTTATTTCTATAGTTTTTGCTCTGTTATTTTGTTTTACCCTCCTTCCCTATAGTTTTGGGCACTCGTCTGTAATCACTTCCTTGTTCCCTCGAACACTCCATATGCAAAATATTTCAGTAAACTGGGCTTTTCAGACACTTGTACTAGTAGTATTTTAAGTTGTCAGCAGCTGTTTTGAATCAAATTAACTGTGCATTTTCGTGTGAGATTGACAGCACAAAGTAGGATTTGATGTAAAGCTGAAAACTACTTCCTTATTTCACTGTGTTCATTTTTCAGTGGATCATTTACACACTCAAACTAAAAAGGAGATGACCTCTAATATTGGCTCTACTTGTGCCATGTTGCCCCCCAGTGGTAAAACGAAAACACACCACAATACAAGATATACCATGATAGCTTTGAAAAATAGTCGCCTTTATTTTCTAATGGTGGTATTTACAGGTGGCCTGCTGTCTTGGTACATGTGGTCAAGAACATAGTGAAAAAAAATATGAACACATCTCAGGCAAAGCAAGCATAACCAAATTAACTATCAACATTGGGATATGGACAAGATAAATATCCTATCTAATCGATGCAATTGTTCTAAAATGACAAACTGTGAGGCTTCAGCTTTGCCCTTCAGCATCCAGTGGGTAAACGTACACTCTTTCCTGCAAACATGTGCCCTGCTAACTTTTTCCAAATGAACAATACGGTTCTAGTGCTGCTCATGAAACAATCAATATTACAGAATCACAGAATAACATCAAATCTTGATTTAACACACAAAGAGTAAAATAATACATTACGGAGAAGAAAAAAAAAAGAAAAGAAAAAAAAAAAGAGCACTACATTAAACAAGCAGTTGCAAATGAAACCGATATCTGATATTGTTTGGTTGACGTAACCAGAGCAACTGTGGATACAGCTTGTACGTGACATGTTTTGATTTCAAAAATGGTTCACGCTGAAGAAAAAAAATAGAAATTTTTCAAAAAATGTTTTCACGCTTTATAAATAGACTTCTACAGTTTAGTGGTTCGTTGATCAATGTATATGGTGGCTTGCTTGTGATGCATATGTTTGCTTTCATTTCTGGATATGTTTACTGCTGATGTTTTTGTAAACAGGATCATTTGGAGGGCAGTATATCAGATAACTGAGATAAATACAATTTTAGCAACTGTTTAAAAAAAACTCAAAAACTCAGAACAACTGCAAAACGAGCAGAGCTTGTCAAAACTGGTCTGAAACTATACGGTTCTCCACGACGTCTGAATAACATTCTTGGCTCCGATACACAAGCTGTAACTGCAGTCACCGTGGCTCAAGTGACGCATGAGATTACTGACGATACATTTGGATTCAGATACAATAAGCTCTCCATAAATAATAAAAACAACCTTAAATTCTGACAAATAATATTCTCTTTTACATCGATATACAAACAATATAAGAAAAAGATCATAAATACAGGGCAAATTGGCGCCCCGAACATTCAATAAACATTAATAGTACTGTGGTTTATATAAATGCAATATGATTAAATTACATTGTCAGTTGATGTTGTAATGGAAAACATCAAATTTTAAATAAACTAACGAGCCAAACCTGGCTTCCATCATGCTGTGGTGATACAGGAGGTTGGTGGCTGTTTGCTAAAACATTCATCTGAAACGACAGAACAGAAGTGCTAAGAAATGACCAGGAGAGGAGGAGAGTGGAAACTTAACAAAATGTTGGGTGAAATGGAAACACAAGCAACATTCTCCAAACTGATATTTCTGCCTTAAAATATGGGGCACTGTAAACCTACAAATCCAACAGTAAGAAACGAGAAGCCTTGAATTTTCCATTTTGAGGTGAATATTTTACATATTTGTAGACTATCATATACACGCCTGCAATAAATTACATACAGTCTCTTTTTATATGCCATTTTAGAATAAACTCTAGTAATAAAATTCATACTGTCAGAGGGATCAGCTGAAGTGTCTCAGCAAATAATGACTATTTCACACATGTGGTAACTGTTCTGTCTGAAATACTTCTGTACAAATACTGTTGGCTGTAATTTCTACACAGTTCTATGTACTAGATGAAGAAATATTTAATTTAATGTGTGGTGGAAAGATAAACTTTAGAAACATCGTGGTTTAAAACTTTTCCAAATCTAACTTTTTGTCCCGTATTAATTATTTGTAAGTAGTAACATTTTTTATAAAAACACATATCAGCAGTTCGATTTGTCCAATTTGCCTGAAGATGCTGACGTCCAATCTTTCAGTTTTGGGAGTTAAACAGAGGGCACCATCTAAACATTTAATGTTTGAGGTAAATACTTACTAAAAAATAGAAGAATTAATTTGCCTCAGCACACTGGGATGCAAAGTAACAAAAAACAGCAAAGCGGGGGACGGTATGAACAGGATGTCAAGTTTTTTTTTCCCTGATATCGCAACGTCCCCCAGATATGAATGATGGCAGGCACTTGAATGTCATGGTTGTGCGCGTGTGTGAGGAAAGTGGTGGATAGTCACATGAGACTGATAGTTCTTAAAGAGTGTTTCTTTGAAAACAAAAGATGGAAGTAAGGGGGCTTCCTCCTCATGATTCCATCTCGTCTCCATCGAACGACGGCGGCACAAAGCTCAGTACCTCTTCGTAGGTTAAGCCTGAGAAAAACAACATACTAATTAGTTACTGACATACTGAACACACAACTTAAATCCACCTAGTTTCTACCAAACTGTTCTGGCCCAGGAACCCACAATGTGCCAACTTACTCTTCCACTCCTCAATTTCAAGCTCACGGCTTTCAAAGCTCTGGTCGTAAGGCTCTGCTTCAGGCTCGTCATCTGGATCGTGGTACTGAGAAAAGTAATGGTGGGCCAGAGCTTCAGACGCTGTGATCCGCTTGTCTGTGTCCAGCACCAACATTTTTTCCAGCAAGTCCACCGCTATAGCAAAAGAGACAAGAGTGAGCATGAGAGAAGGTACAAGACAGAGTAAAAGAAAACAGGTGGGAAAAGCTTTTCCTGGAAAGCTTGATAAGGACAACCTGTTGTTTAATCAGCTAAAAATACTCATCTAAAGATTAGTCCTCATTCTGAGGGTGCTGTCACACCTTACGTGTTTGGTTCAGTTAAAAGAGACCCAGATATGTTCGCCTACTTAGTGTGGTTTGCTTAGGGTGGTGTTGAAGCTGTCAGTCAAACAACCGGTCAGAGACCTTTTCAAAAGGTGTTGACTCACTTCCAAGCCGACTCTGACAGAGTTCCTTAGTGGTGTGAAAGAAAATGGCTTAACAGAATTTGATAGGACTGGGTAATATAGCCGAAACCTTAAGCCTCATGAAATGTTTTTTTTTTTTTGTAGCCAATATAATCAATTATTATTGATTATTTCTAAATAAACTACTTTTCATAAAGACCAGAAGAAAAAGGGTATATTTTAAATTGAATCATCTGCCTTTAACCACTTTAGCCTCTTTATCAAGTTATACAGGTAATCATTTTGTTACCACAACAATGAAGATTGCACACATTAAAAAAAAATGCACGCACAAAAACAATCGAGTAATAACTATAATATCAAATAAAGGACTGATGGTAACTTCATACATGTCAAAATAACAAAAGCATGTAATGTTGAAGTGTAAAGGGGTTCTATTATCAAGTTATGAAAGGCTGTTTATCATTTAGGGAGGGAGCCCTTGTGGAGTTTGCTCACTGAACTGAACTTTGTATCTCTATTTCATATTTATTAAACATTCTATCAAACTATTTTCTTATTGCTACTGATGTGTCTATCACCAGTCCAATAGACTATCGCTTTACAGGCCCGGCCAAACGGTAGGTATGTGATTAGAACATGATTAGAAACAACTATGAATAATCGTGCAGTAATCCTACAGGTGATCAGGTCAAGGCTGCATACATTTATGTAAATCATGGTTGCAGGAAGGGTGGGGATTGACTCAGCTAAATCAGGCGGTCAAAAACTGCGACGTGCTGTGTTTGCACCTGATTCCATGACAGTTCATTAAGTCCATTACAAGCGCAAAATAACACCCCCCAGAACACTAATGTACAAGACGCCACATTTTTATCTTGTCTCGTAACATGCAGCCAATCTGCAAAAACACTAAGAATACTCCTAGCTATTTGTTGATGAGTGCTTTATGACACCAGAGACATAAAAATGCAAATTAGCATTAGACAACAGGTTATGTAGGATTTAAGTGTTACATAACCTGCAGTCATTTACCAAATGCTTCCAGGTGTGGTGCTAACGATACACGATGACAATTGTTTAAATGGTCTAATCAATGAGTTACCATTAGTCTGTATGACCTCATTAGACCACAGCAAATAAACCAAACTATAGATATGATAACGCACCCCAACACAATCAAACAGGTGCTAGAGGTTTGTTAGTGTACACCTATATCCAGTATTTTTACATAAAGGGTGATTCAATACACAGAACATACAAAGGAAATACCTAAAAATACAATGTCTGCATGACACCACTAGAGGGCCTCAGTGAGCCAGGAGTAAGTCCGCTATAGCACAATGCTTTAAAGAGAACTTACCAAGAGGGTTGGCACCAATAAACACATCGGCAAAGTTCCTCTTGGGCATGTGGGGAAGTGAGTTGATGTAGTTCCTGGCCTGGGGGAATGAATAAACAGAAAAGCTAAAGCGTAAACATCCTTTAAAATGCTACATATGAGAATTCAAGACATTTTATCTTACTTCACTGGTTTCCTAAATTTGCCTGATGCAAAACATACAACACATTCCTCCATTTTCAATTACCAGCCAATTCACACTAATTACACAAACATTGCACCCTACTTTTTTTTCTCCCAGAGTCAAGCTGCGTTACCAATGAAACAGATAGCTCATCAGAATACACTGGCAAAGCCTCGCTGTGACAAGCATTGGTGAGTCAGAGAGGAAACAGGGAATACGTGGAGTGAGAGCAGAGGCTAGTATGCAGAGAAGAACTGGTAGGAAACATTTCAACAATCAAGTCTAAAGGTAAACAGTTATGTGGGTATTGGCTGCGGCCCGGCCCTGATTCCAGATGGGGGGTCGGGGGGGGGGGGGGGGGGGGCCGGGGGGCACATGGGAAGGCGAAGGGAACGTGGCTCACCTCATGGCTGGGCATCCTGCTTATGAGGGAGGCTGGGGGCGTTCCCGTCAGGCGCATTATCTGCTGCAGCTGGTTTATATCTACAGCTTCTGAGTCAAGGGGCATCGTAACATGGAGGTCAGCATGTCAAAGAGTATGGGTGGTTAAGAGAGTTTATGTATTGGGGGGTGGGGATTAAAAGGGTAGGGAACACACACAGGGTGAGGGTGAAGATGGCGTAAAAGGGGAAAAAAAAACATTTTTTGAGCTTTGATATAAAGCAACCGCGGACTGACTGTAGCGTATAATGAGAGATTTATGATACTGTAACCCACTGCTGCACTAAAGTCCTGCTACTGTGTCACATAAAGAGCACTCTAGAAGTACATGCTAGAAAGAAGTGGAAACCAAAGCCTTGTGCTCACGTGCAGATGAAGCCATTAAGAAAATACCCATTTCAGAGCGAAAACAGGTGCAGCTTAGAAGTAGCAGCGTCGACACAGAGTGGTAAACGGTCTTAACTCTTGAGTGGGCAACACAGAGGCAACACAAAAAGAGGCAGAAGGGGCAGTGCAGCGAAACTGGCTGGGATGGTACTTGACACTCACAGACTCCGAAGAGATTTTCATCAAGAGCTCGGCCTCTGGGGTTCCGACGAGCACCATTATAAGCTTCAACTGATCAATGTCTACCACACTCACATGAAGGAAAACAGAAGGGATGGAGGGCGTTGGATAGGAAGAGAAGGGTGAGACGTACAACAGACAAAGCTGTCATCTTTACACAAAAAAAAAAAAAAAAAGTTAATCATATTAACTCAAATGTGTACTGTGTCACACTGTGGAGCATAAACGATAGTAACAAATACATTAAAAAGACGGAAGAAATGATCCAGAACTCATGCGCTCGTAACATGACTAACTGTGACCACAACAAGTGTTATGATCCTTAAGCCACATTTAAACCATCTTGAAGTTATTACATGAGCTTAAAAAAAACATTAAACTAATCAGGGAAAGGAGGCATAAGCAGAAAATTAAGCTAAAATTCTATAAAATCTTTGGGTTTGAAGTATTTCAACACTCAATACTAGCTTCATCACAGGTTGTTACATTTTAGTATTTCCAGCTTGCAGAACTGTTGGGCCACATTTTTGCATTGACTAAGCTAGTTTCTGTTAAAACTGCGGTGAACGTTTCCAACAGGTTTCATCTTGCAAAGCTTTCACATCCTCTACTAGAACATCAACTTTTCATGCCCGTGGCATTGTCTCCGTGTTGCTCTGTGGGATGTAGGAGGGTCATTTTAAGACTTACTTTGCTTTAAGCAAAACGGGCATGCTTAAAGAACCACCTCTGTTGCTTGAATCATTTTTGGCTAACTTCTCAAAGTGTGCAACTGATAGTCCTCACTGCACTTTAGAGTTCATGATTTCATTAATAAATACCTTCAGGTCACCTACAACTTTTAAGAAAAATTGCCCCACCTCAACATGACATTAACACAAATACATAAGCAGATCTATTATTTACATTTTGAAAAAAAATGTAAATGGTGACGTAAAAGTGATTTTAATCCTGATCATCTGAAAGATTGTAAATGTACAATACATAATGCCTGTAATGATAGTGTGCAAAAGCTCATAAGATACAAGATGCTCCCACCCACTATACACATGTGCAAAGATCAGCTTTCATTCAGACGGGTAAAAGCAGCTCGACCAGAAAGACTACAGTACATTGAACCATGCTTTGTAGGTGGGTAGCTTCTCAAAGTGATTTAGATTCAGTGAAAGAGCACACATTCAAACACACACACACCCACAGGGCATGCAGCGCAGGAGTGGATGGGTTGATTGATTATTTGGAGCAGAAATCACAAATACATTATGCAACAACCACACCAAGGCTTTGGATATTTAACATGACCGTGTGTGCCAACTTCCGCATTTGAAGCTGTGTGTCGCAATTACAGTGCTTCTCTTCGTGTTTTTGTATTAAAATCATCTGAACGCACTACTGCTGCGTACGGCTAGCTTTGTGGGAGGGAAACAGGAAGGTGTACTGTATCGTGGAAAAGCAGCAGAGACAAAAGTGGGCAGCGCTGAGTCATAGATCACAGGAGACTCCAACTCTACACATGAGTGTGTGTGTGCAGCACTGTTGCAAGAGCCTCTCCAATAGCCTGGCAGTGCAGCGAACAACGATTCTCTTGCAACTATATTTCTGCACAGCGAAATAGATGAGCAGATTGCATTCGTGTATTGCATCTTCTACATCTAGCGGAGACCTATAGGTTGACTACAAGAGGCAGAGCTATTTACACATGGCAGTGACAAAGGTGGAAGGATACGGTCTGTGCCAGGGAAGAGCGTCCGTCCCGTGAGTAGCTCGGCCATAATGCAGCCCACCGACCAGATATCCACTATTCAAGGAAAAGACATCAAGTGAAACATTCAGCACAATGAACACGTTCACAGTTTAGAGGAAAGCTGAAGCTTTTCAACAGCATAACAAAGACCATGGCAGCTGCCTGTGGAACTCGTATGGGAATCTAACAATTGTCTCATGCTGTAACGTTCAGTGCTTGTGGTGAACTCAAAAATGCCTCATGTGCTTTTTTTTTTTTTCTCCAAATGTAATCATGCACCGCTTGCTGATGAGCAGAGATTTTAGTTTTGTAACAATATCTTGTTAATTGTTAAAGAACTGCAGCAGTTTTCTGTTTTACATCTGCAGAGAAAACATCACAGAGCAAAGAGCCTTTGTTTGACGTGAGTGTTTAACTTCTGTGAGATTGAATGTTAAACGTAAAATTCATTTCTTCAAGATATAATGAAAAAAAAAATCAATTTAGTTGACAAGATGTAAGAAACTGTCAAGAGCTGCAGATGATTTAGATAAAAGACAACTAAGCATGTTATTTGGCGGTAATAAAAGTCTGAAACAATGAGGGGGAGCAAAAACTAGCATTCATCAGGGTCTTACAAGTGCTTGCACAACATAAGCCCACACAAATCTATCTGGCCATTTATACACCTAAAATCTATGTAAAGCCGGCGCAAAGCAGAAACAAATGCCATCCAACGAGGCAAATGTCTGTTTTGGATTCTTTGGCGAGTGATAGACCGCATGAAAAAGGCCCTAAATGTTATGTTGACTCAGCCAGAAAATTGAAAAGCTGCCCTAGTTTCTCTAAAATTGCCCTAATCATTTTCCACAGCGGAAAAAGCTAAATATATCTGGTGAAATTATGTTTTATTTCAGCCTTTGCATTTTATTTCAGCAAACAACAACAAAAAAATGTAACTTTTCCCCCTTATAGTTAAACCTTTTTCGTCAAATTGAACTTTGAATTTCTTAATTTACAGCAACCCTGAACACACAGATGTCAAGCAAGCTATTTCAACACAACTTCAATTATGTGAAATTGCACATGATGTAATGTTACATTCAATTGTGGTCTCCAAACAGTATGACTGAGCGTCTGTGTGTGTGTGTGTGTATGTGTACCGGTCATGTTGTAGTGCATCCAGTTGAGCATGATCTCCGGGGCCCGGTACCATCGGGTGGCTACGTATCCTGTCATTTCATCGTCTGTGTGCCGCGCCAAACCAAAGTCCAGAATCTGAGGGAGCAAAAAGATTTCATGTGTTGGGGAAGCAAAGACAAGACGACTGTCTACTTGACTGAACAACTTCTGTTCTAGAACAAGCTGTTTGAAAATCAGTGAGCCTTGTATCCGAATCGTCTGGTTTCTCACCTTGAGCTCACAGTCTTCATTCACAGCCAGATTACTAGGCTTCAAATCCTGAAGAAAATAAAAGGGAAAGTGCAGACGTAAAGATAAGAAGCAACAAAGAGGTATTCCTGTTGACATCATTCTGCATATCACTGGGAGATATTTTTCCTCTTACTGTGCAAAGAAAACACCACCTAAGATAACTGATGAGCTGTTTCTTGTTTTGGTTCTCAGATAAGAAGTGATTAAAGAGGCCTTGAAACTGATAGCACAACAATATGTTTAACCAGCACAGGTCCTGTGATACTTGGTCAAGATTAATCAGGTTAATCTTCAGAACTCGAGTTTATTTACAAATTCAGCAGCGTCATCACTTACTCTATGGATGATATCTGCAGAGTGGATGTACTGTGGAGGGTAAAAAAAAAAGAAGAAGAAGAAGAAGAAAAAAAAGAACATAACCATGGTTAAGCATGAATAAACTTTCAATTTGGAAACAATGCAACCAAAAGTTTATTTGCCATTCATTTTAATCACAGTAACAGCTTACGAGTGTTTGTGTGTGTGGAACCGTGTGTTGCAGAAACAGGATGTGCATTTTAAATTGATACCAGCTGAACTTCCAAAGTGGTAGCAGATGGAAAACATCAAAAATAACCACGGCATGAATATTCTTCTTAAATTTAGCACTGCTTGGGAATTCTTTCTTTCATACATATTGAATACAATGATAAAACATTTGATATTAGAAGCGCAAATGAATGACAAAGAGGATTCTGCAAAGTATGCAATCATGATTGACAATAACAGATACCTAGACATTGATCCTTATTGAAGTTACTGTGTCAAAGTTGTCAGGAGAGAGTCAGTAGTTTCTTACAAAATCTCCAGTATCTTTGTGCATCTACACAACAAAATTCTAACTTGCATTTTTCCTATCCCAGCGATATAGCAGCCTAAGAGTTGTGTAAAAATTGTGCTACAGCAAGAGCTTCACCAACCTTTAAGCCTCTGAGGATCTGGTAGATGAGGAATTGGACGTGGTCATCAGTTAGCTTCTGACACTTTACGATGTTGTTGAGGTCTGCGCCCATTAGGTGCGTCACCAAGTACCTGCAAATCACACAGCCAATCAGATGTGGTCCTCCACTGCCATAAAGTCTGTCTTCTTTATTACCTGCAGCTTTGCTTAATTAAAGTTTGACACTTATATAGTTTCTCTAACTTTGGCTTACTGCTGTGTTAACATTTGTGAAGCACCTTTGAGTTTGTTGCTATGCTGTTGTTTTTTTAATTAAAATCACTCGTCACTGTCAGCAATAATAATTATATTGAACGAGTTCATTTGGAAAGTTTCTGCATTACAATTATGTGTAACTGTAGGCTCGTGCCCAACTTGTGCGCTTTACTAAAGCCAAAGAAGAAGGAGAAGAAACTAATATCGAAAACGAGAGCAGGAAAAAATGTGTTTTGTTTCTCTTATCTTTTCTCGATAGTGAAATGTGTATACAGCAAATAGATCAGATGAGTAAGGCCAACAGTAGCTGGTATATCTGCTGGATGACGCTTCATTCCATAACAAAAGACCACTTCCAGGCTGGCCTCTGGGTATTGTGAAAGCATCTGGTATTCTGCACTTAAGTACTGTTTTCAGTATGTTTCTGTGTTGTCTGCTAGTCACATGAAAGCTAAGTGTCATATCTTTAGCTATTGTGCAACTTCAGCCTATGTGTACATGTGTGTGTGTGTGTTTGTAGGTCCGTCTCACATTTCCACAAATGTGCAACATGCTGATGACGCCACACCATGCAGAGAATTCAAGGACGCTGATTGAGTATTCTGCGCACACACACACACACACACTGTACCCCCAGAGACTGCCAGATGGCTGTTACCATGGAGACTAGCTGTGATGTGCCCAAGTGCACGTGTTCACCCTCCATTCACCTTGGTGCAGCTCACCACGCGCTGTCCTCACGTGAAGTTATGAGCTGCAGCATTGCTAATTTGGCTATCGTGCTAATCATGCAATCATCTGCTGACATGAATGGTTTCATTGTGTTTGAAGTAAAGCTATAGAAGCTGAGACAGAAGGGAGGCAAGAGAGACAGACAGAGAGAATGAATGAGGAGAAAGCAGAGGGACAGAGGAGAAGAAAAAAAAACTAAAAGATATGAATGAAAAGGAGACTTACACATCATTGAATTCCTCTAAACTTGTGGCCGGTGTGAAAACATCTAATAGACCAATCACCTGAAGAGAAATAAGAGAGGTCAGCAAGTTAGAAATGATTGCATTTTGAACATCATCATGGAAGCTGTGCAGTTGTGTGGACAACAAACTGAAAACCAACAAGTTAGTTTCAAGACATTTCTATAGAGTTAGAGTCCAAGATCGGGAAATTCTCTTCTGCAATGTTTTAAGTTTATTCTGATATATTTAAACAAGACTTCTCCCTTTTCTCGTACTTGCTATTTATTCGAGATTTGGTGATGTACACTTGATCATGCATGCGCTCTGTTTTAGCTATACTCGCAGAAATGAAATTTATATAAACCACAATAGATATGATTTCAGCAGCAAACATGTTTTTTGAATTATAGAAAGTTTGTGCATTAAGTTGACTGGACAGACGCCTTTAGGGGGTTGAAGATATGTGGAATCAAAAGAAAATATACATGCATGACATTGCACAACAGTAATGTGTCAACAGTTATACCTAAATGGTTTCACGCTTGATTCAAAAATGTCCACTTGTTTTTAATAGCTAAAAAATACCAGCACTGCTTTACTCCTTTTTTTCTCCCACAATATTTCCACAACGCTACAAAAGCTTTGGAGATAAGATGCGTCGTCCTTGGCTCATATGAATGCCATCTGCCATCGTTTACCCATCACTAACAATCACTAGCAGTCAAGTTTGTAGCTGCATGACAGGAAAACCCAAAATAATGTGTGAAAGCCACAAAACACCATTGCATAGAATGATGATTTCCAAAGAAGAGAGTTGTTTTCTTCAGGATTGATCGGAACAAAGCAAAAGCAAAACAGAACAAAGACAAAGATCATATTCATGCGTGTGTGCATACATGTCGACACACTGGCAGAGAGCAAACTCTGAGCGCCAACCCTGCCCCCCCCGGAGAGACTGAGGTGGATAGGTAATGTGAAAACACTGGAGCAGCCCACCCACACAGGATTCAAAACCGCAGCTGATTGGTGGGCTGAAGCCACAACAAACAGCTCATTGGTCCACTCAGGCTTTCCAAAATCCAAACCTGGGGAGTCTCCTGGCAACAGCATGAGCAAAACACAGAATCCCTCTCTGTCTAAACCACAGCAGGTATTAAAACACTGGTGATTTATGAACAAAAAAAAAGCACAGATTATTGTTTTTTTTCTTCTTCTTCTAAAAATAGAACCTGGCTATAGCACGTTCACACTTGGATTTAAAAAAAAAAAAAGAAATTTGGATTTTGCTATGCGAGTTGAATCTTTATCAGACTGCCATTTCAATGTAACATTAGCATTATTTTATTCAGCACAGTGATATAGGCACTGATTCTTTATAATCCTGCATAATCCTGCTTCCATGTAAAACCTGTTTTTCAAATGAATGCACTGAGGTATTTCAGCTGCAGCGCCAGTGCACTGTGCAACACTAATTCCAAAACTGCTTAAACATGTTTAAGCTGTTCCAGTAGTGAAATCAGTGCTTGTGCAGAAAAGTAATGCTGTGTGAGTGTTCCGCTGAGCGTGCACGGACTAAATCACAGCAAGTTTCAACTATGTTTTGGCATGAGCTGCTATCATATGGAACTTTTTCACAACATAAGGAGGCCTGGATGTTTTTCAGTATGGCTTGGTAACCATCATGCTAAGTTTTTATGTACATTCCTTCCTATCTGCTTTTGAGCTAAGCAGATGTAGGCGAGCGAAAGCTGTTTTTTTTGTTGTTGTTGTTGACACATCTATATAATACTTGACCAACTCTTGCACTCATCAGCTTCTAATCAGAGCAAACAGAAGTGGCTTTGAAAATGATGTCATTTTTTTTTCCACAGTCACGTCTGTATGCTCTGAGCGGCAACAATCCCCAATCAAATATTTTATTAATAACTTCCTCTCAGTCGTTTATTAGACTGGCGACCTGTGTGTCGTGATGGTGTCTAGAGTTTCTGAATAGTTAACGCATGAATTCCTCGAGCGTGCGCAATGAGTTTTTCAAGGCAATTAAGCAATGCACAATATTGTTCACACTAAATTAAATCAACTTTCCGGAGATGGGCTTTTATTTCACTGAGATATCTGCTCTAATGTTGTTCTTTAATTGCTGCTGGTCGGTTTTTCCCCTTTGAGACTTTCCAAACTTCTACAAGCTAAAGTTTCTTTCTTCCTCGGTGAGTGCGTCATCTAAAGCTTCACTTCACTGCGGCTGCCAGTTAATGAGAATGGAGAATCCTGTCACTCAGCAGTAACCTCTCTTACAGCTATTATTACTACGTACTTCTTTCTACCTGCTGCACTGCTGCGAACGGCAAACTCTTTACAATGCACACTTCCTCTCTTTTTCCCCTTATCAAAGACCCCAGCATCAACAGAAACTTCTAGTCTTACTCACACTTGCATACACCCCTCACCAGGTGACTTGTTCCCACACAGGACACAGAAACCCATTATCTGCACTTAAGTGTGAGAAATCATAGCCACTGGCATTACAAAACACAAGGATATCTTCTCTGTTTGGTTAAGTGTTGGCTGCATGCAACAACAGCGCACAGGAACCAGGAAATGTGTTTGTGTTTTGTATGTGGGCAAGTGTCTGCATGTGAGGTGCCTATACACACACACACACACACACACACACACACAGACAAAAACCAAAACCAAAGCAGTGATTGTAGGGGGGCGACTAAAACCACTGACCGGATAATTTAAGAAAAATGGCATGAATCATAAATAGTGCAGCAATAAAATAAAATAGAAAGCAAAGACTCCAGAGAAGGTGATGGGGCTGCAGTTGTAAACCTTCCTGGTGATTCATTCCTCACCAAGTTTCATTGCACAAAATGCTTTGATCACTTGGCAGGGGGAAAACCTCTTTTAACAGGACATCACAGCGACCACAGCTGCAGCCTGAGGCAAGCATACGTACATGACTATGTTTATGATGTCTTGCGTGAACTAACAGAAGCGCTGACTTTACGCTGTTCAACATGTTGCTGCTATTCCATTACTAATGTGTTGGTGGCACGGACGGGAGGGATTTTACAGTCAGCTGGAGTAAGCTGGGACACAGATGGAGACTGACGTGTCAAGTCACACACCCGCCCAGTTCACCGATCGATTCTGGTTATCACAAGAAGAGTCCATGTGAGCAAATATTGGTACGTTTTAGTCTAATTTTAGCCTCAGAATTTGGACACTCTTGCAGAAATCACTTCACATCTGTCTGTCATCTGAGCTGTTGCCTGTTTCCATCAATACGTTTGCATGTTTAAATTCCAAGCACGAGCTGTGCGTGATCGCCTGACGTCATGTGGTTTTCCCTGCACATTCCTGAGAGCAGATCTGAGATCCAGCAATCATTATGAACTATAAGTCAACAAGCATACAAATGGCTTAGCAAAGTCAGCAGAGTAGAGACTGCTTCTGCAAGGGAGTACCCACTCTGCAAACCTTATGTGCAACTTTGTGTCTACACATACGCGGTCCTTTCAGAACAGTTAAACTACAGAAGAATGTAAACACGCTATACAGGTGACGGGCCATCAGGAGAGATTGAAGGCGGAGGTGAGGGCGGTTCAGGTGACTCACGTTCTCATGCTTCATGTGTTTGAGCAGCCGCAGCTCTCTGTAGGTTCTCTTCGCATGGATGATGGACTGGAAGGGTCTGGACAACTTCTTCACTGCTACCTTCAGGCCGCTCTTTACATCAAACGCTGAACTGGAAGAAACAATATTTGAAACAGGTGAAATGTTAATTGTTCATAGTAAATGCACACCAGCGGGCAACTAACAACTGGCATATCAAAAGCCAAACATTTCCCTTCATTTAACTGAGAATGAGATCCTTCACTAGACTGTGTAGGCGGCCACAACCCAGTAAACAAAGCAAATACTTGCATAACACTGAGCTCTTGGTTTCAGTTCTTATTATACTCTGCAGCCTAAGGTTGTATGGGGAACATGACTGAACCTGTTGTTAAATATCAGCTGCTCTGGGGACAACAACACAGAGTGTGAAAATTCTTTAGCCATTTACTGGAAAAGGATTTAGCAGTGCGACGTGTTTGTCAGCGAACATTTGCTCACACAAAGCAGTACCCACACAGTAAAGCATTCTTCCTTTACGTTAATGCTGTTTACATGTTCCGGGGGTTGCTCACATAAATGTAACCTGACCTCAGTTGTGTAGCTGAGCACATAATGTCAACAACCACTTGACACTGGCTGCTTCAAGTCTGTTACTGCAGCTCTGTTTGCAAATTGTGCAGTTTTCATCTGTTTAAAAACTGTGCTGCTGACTGTCTGTCTGTAGAATGAATGCATCAAGACATTACTATGACTTCACCGCATTATTGTTATTAATTGTTTTTTTAAAAAATCATGTACGACACAGGAACAAACAAACACAAAAATGACACGAAAAGTGTCTGGTGATTAAATGTGTGGCCTCGTTCTCCCTTTGCATAACAGTTTAATGTGCAGCACATCAAAGTTAGCAGCTGCCCTGCATCTGTCCCAGGGCTGTCCATGTGAGTGTGCATGAGTTTGCTTTGGTCCTCATTCATCCTTTCATTCATTATGTCTCTCGCTTCCTTGCTGTGGCGTAACAGAATACATCATTGTCACTGCAGAGCAATGCAAGAGAGAGAAACAAGGTGCAGCAAAAAGAACACGGACAAAGAAAGTGTAGCGAAAATGCCAAGAGGAAAATTCGCTCTCCTTATGTAAAACAGGCAGCAATAAGCAAGCGCTGCTATTATAAACCACGGAATATACTCAGAGGACACCATGAATTGAAGAAGTATCATCTCTTCTAAGTAAAAGTAGCAACACCACCGTGTAAAAATACTGTGTTACAAGTAAACTCCATGCATTTATATTTTTACAAAAGTAAAAGCAGAAAATTACTAGCATTAAAATATACTTGATATTGACAGTGGTGTTTCTATGACACTGTGCTGAGCTTGTTCGTGTACTTCATGTTGGAGGTGCAGCGAATAAACAGCAGTTACTTTTACTAAAATGACTGCAATCCAGAAAACATGGAAAACTTGAAAACCAACGGAGTGGATACGCGGATTGGTAGCACCATAAACAGCATATGGCTACAGTGGCAGAACACCAGCTATTGTGTTTGCATTATGAGCAAGCCAGAGACAATTACAGCCTATTACACTTAACATTTTGATTCAGAGGTATTATCTTGGCACAAGTCAATATGCAGTGTAAACGCAACAAATTAGTGCTAAGTGGGCCAATTGCAGCTGTGGTCTGTTACATTTCTGTGAAGGTGCACGTCAGGTTGTGGTTTCAAGACAGTATAAATCAAGCTTACTGTAGTATGGAATATACATATATAATCACCCGTATTATTGAATTATAATTAATGACGCATCACATGTTCATTACTTTCATGTAAGCGTAAAAAGTGCATTATATGCCTCTGAATTGTAGTGGAGTGCAAAGCAGCAGGAAATAGAAGAACTCAAGTAATGTGAAATTGTATTCAAGTACAGAACTTGAGTTACTGCACTTAGTTGATTTCCAGCACTGCCTCACACACACACACACACTGTAATAGAGACCGAAAGAAAGACGGAGGCAGATGGGCTTTGCCTCCCCAAGAAGCACAACATTGCTGCATTTCCTGCTTCTGTGAGGAAACACAACCCACTTACAATAAACCACATTCCTTTCAGGTCAATCACCTAAGCTGCATCACAAATGGATGATTGCAAAATCAGTCTATTAAAAAATAAATAAATAAAAAAACCATGCTGAGTTTTGTGCTGACACATTTTTTTTTTTTGGTTTTCACTGTAGTCTACAGATGTGGGTCAACGTTTTAGAAGAGGAGGTCTCTCTTTGTTTTTCCATCAAACTCCTTTCACAAAGTGCACAGCACACCAAAGGGGATGATCAATAATCATCCATATAAAAAGGCAAGACAAGCAAACACTCTGAACCGCTGAGCCAGTCCTCAGCTGCACTGTGGCCTTGTAGTTAAAGGTTCAGAGTTTAGAATATGTCAATATTACGTTTTTTACAGGAGAGGATGAGACTAATTTCCTCTGGACATATTTCACAAACAGACTGAACTGTTGACCTTTTTACTGACTAAGAACTCAACGTACCTGTATTTTAGTGGATAATGCCCCCAGCAGTAGCCTTCAAAATTATTTTGTATGTCTAAGAAAGCTATGGCCCTGAGTGCCACACATCCCTACTAAGAACATTGAGATAAGCGTTATGTTTTTTCCAGTAAGTCTGAGATAATCTCCCACACCCAGTGTACTCCACGTCCGCGGCCTGCAGAGCAACTTTTATGTGTGTCACTACTGGGAAAACCCATACTCAGAAAAGAGACCATTGCAAAGCTAAATGACAAAACAAAGACGCACCGTCTTTCAAACTGCTGCTAATCTGTAGGGCAAACAAGATGAGTCTTTAGCATACACCATCCAATTAGTCTGTGATAAATGGAACTGCAATAACAAATGGCCATAAATTGCGGGCTGTAAAGAGAGTAATGCTGTGAGGCCGGCTTCACGGGGAAGTAGGGAGTCAGTATGCTGACTAACAGACAAGACGGAGTGAGCAAACAGACAAATGTGTGCTGTAGATGATTTGTTACGATGTCTGCAGTAAGCAGCTTCTCTTCAGTTTGTGTATTTCAGCGACCTATTCTTGGCGAAGATCTTCTACAGAAGGGTCAGGATGTACAACTTGTACTTTTAGTAAGACTGACGGTTAGATCAACTATGTTTTTTAGCACCGAGTCCGTCCTGCACATGTAAATGCATAAACTAGACCCTTATTAGAGTCTGACAGGGTGCATTTACATTGATCAAAGTGCCAAGTCTCAGCACATACAATCCCATTTTGAGTAACTAGAATTGACACAAGTGTGACCATAAGCAAATACCTTTTCAACATTTCAGTATACTCTAAATCTTTGTCCTCTATGATGGCTGATCTTCCATAAAATGAAAACCATACCGTCATTCAGAAAGCTGAGTACAAACTGAAATGTTTTTTTTTTCTATTCCATGTATAACTGGTATCAATACTTTCAGCAAAAAAAAAAAAAACAGATGTCAGAGTCAGCACCATACTGAGATTATTTACTCAACAGGTATAAAACCCTTTTACACACATCACCACCCGCTCACACACACACAAGTCAAACAAGAATGGAAATAATAACCCATCCCGCCCAACCCCACTAGCTGACACAATAGTCAAATTCTGCATTACGCCACCTGACCTGTATGTTCTGACAGGAACAACAAAACACAGTAATCCTTAGCGGATCCTTAGCTTCTCTTTTAGTGCTCATATGAGGCTTTGTATGATTTGAATTATAAAATCTGACAAAGATTTGTTTTTGTTTTTACATCAACTTGAAATTCTAACGTGTCCATCTAAATTATTTTCCGTCATTGTGAAATGGCACCAGCGAGGACACGGCTCTGCAGTAATCAATACCATTTTTTAATCTGTTTTATGATTTTATAACAGGAACTAAACAGTGAGATGACTCAGTCAGTAGGACACCGTGGCCTCAAAAGCCAGTAGAACAACTGGCAAGAAGCAGAACAAGTTTTGATGAGCGTATTTCATTTTTGCAGTCATCACCTAGCTTCCCCGTAGCTCGGGACAAATCGTTGTGTCACTGGGTGTACCATGATGCAGTCAGTGTTTGGGTATGCAAAGAATGACCTGAAGCACCATGAAGCATCTGATACAACTAAAACTCAATGCTCAATCAATGTTAGAAGCTGACTGGTGCGATAAATGTGATACGTGTGATTATATATTCATCTGGCCGTGTTAAAACAACCACGCTGACTGGGATCTTTGTGTAAGATAACCTGGTTCTAATGTTTACATGGTCGGAGCAATAATCGCAGTATTTCCATACCCTGACTAATGATAAGCAATTAAATTATTGCAGGGCATACACACGCTAATTTTCCAATCTGTTCTGCTAACAGAGATACGGATGAAAAGCAAATCACTCAACCATGCCTCCTCCTTCACCCAGATAAACTGGCTCCTAATTCTATGTGGCACACAAAGCTCCACTTGGAAGTTTTTGAAGTCTGAAAAGCTCCTCATGCTGTCTTTTTTTTTAACTCCCCTAGATGATAAAGTCTCTTTCTATCTGTTGTAGTTCAAAGATAGCTTGTTTCGAACATAACAGGAAAGAACGTGACTCCTTGCTTATCTACCTTACATATGTAGGGTAAATGATTTACAGATTAGTAAATTAGAACTGTAAGTATACTAAAAATATTTATGCTAAATATGTACTTAGATGATTTGATTGGCTGGGCAGAATTTTTCATATTTCCTTTCTTTAAAACAGACTGGAATAAAATGATGTACACAATTTAATTACAAATAGTTGTTTGTTTGTTTGTTTTTAAAGTATCTAAGCATCCGCCATGTCTGCACGCCTAAATGTTTTAGGGGATCTAATTCTAATCCGTAACTTTATACCAAAATGAACGGGTTTACTTTTCTGACATCACTGATGCATTCGGTCATAGACCTCACATGATCAGATGCTGGAGCTAAACTCACAAAATTGCTAGTTTTAAGCTTAAGCTGAAAAGCGAGTGCACGTTTCTCTGAGGTTAAAACCAAGTGCGTCAGCCAGAACTGGCCAGAAAGTGCGATATAATGAGTCTCGTGCAATTCTGTCTTTATCAGAAAAATATCTAAAGATTCAAACGTGAAACTTAAGGAGATGCATGGCATGCTGGTGGCTGAAACCAGGAAATAAATATGAGCAGAATTAATTATGTCAAATTTCAGTTTCAAATTCAAATGGATGGAAGACAGCTGTTTATCATGCACCGTCAGCTGGCATCCTGCTCAGAAAAAAATTGTTTTTAAAAATTGGGCAAAAACAGTTGAAATTGTGAATTTCTGCATGTTTGGAAAATGTGAACATGCAAACAAGTTGTTAGGAATCATAGGAATGTTTTCGTTGAAGCAGGAAAACAAGATTAAGTTCAAAGATATGCAAAACTCTGACAGGAAATACCTTTGAAAACTTCTTTTGCGAAGAAAGTATGCTGTCTACCGTATACATTTTATGTATTTAGGCACTTAGTAATGTTTGGTAGCAAACAGTTCACCAGCCTGTGCTTAATCTCATGCAACTTTTCAAAGGCCAGAGAGTTATTGTTGTCTTTGCATCAAAACCTCAAGCATTGAGATCTTTTTTTTCTTGCCATATTGTCTACCATTACCCTTTACTGAGATGAAAGTAGCTATTCACTTAAAATATGCACACCCCTGGGCCCGTATGAATTTCATGCTGGTTGCTGAGCTGAGAAACCCACAGCGACTAACACAAGGCACAGTTCATCGCGTAACGCCAGCCAGCAGCCTTCACTGTAAACTCTTTCTTGCCACGCTAACCCTGGATCTTCTCCAAGTCTGACATTTAAAAAATAAAAATAAAAAATAGAACAAAGGTCAGAAATAAGAAGAAAACTGTGCTGTTGCTTGTTTGTTTTCTTGGAATTGCTTGTATATGAGTGAAAGGTCGATGAGGAAAAACTATTTAAAACCCCAAACAGCACCTGTTTTTTTATTTTATTTAAATGACTCGAGACAGTATCATAAAAAAAGACTTCGCTGGCAGAGTGACCCAGAGCATGTGTCCGGCTGACCAACAGTCGTGACATGCTGGAGTAGGTGTTATGAGGTTATTTATACCTACTGAAGGGTTTTAGACACAGGCTGCTTGTTTGGACCAGAATTTAATCAGAAGCCATAGGAGAAGATGACAACTCCTTGTCCTGGCTGGATGTACAAATGGAGAAAACTGGAGAGGAATGTATCAAAAGGCAACTTCAAAGTAGCTGCAGATGACCGCAGATAACACAGAGAAAGACGCAGTTGTGCAAACTGTGGAGCACCGGGGCCTGCTTTGGGGAAAGGTGAAACCGCATTCAAGCAAATTTAAAATCAAATACAGATCTTCAATGAGGACACTGTATACGCTAGTGCCTTTCATTTGGCATTGGTGGTTCCATGCCCAGATTGTGTCTTAAGGACAAAATCAGGTCATTCACTGCAAAATACACACATGCTCAATAACTAAAGATGTGAAAGTGGGGTCAAAATGAACTGTGAGGGTATAATTACAGTACGTTGCCATCCATGTGATGACAGGAAGGCGTCACCAGCTGAGGCCACTACCTAACCTCGGGACTGTGAGTCATGTGTGTACCACAACGGGAGAAAGGATGACATCATTCTAGAGTCATCATCATCGTCCGTCGTCGTGGTCGGATGGGCTCCTGTAGAAAAAAAAAAAAAAAAAGCTCTCACTGTGCACGAGGGGGGCCTACTTTCCGAAAACCACGTGACCTTCTGGTACTCTGCAGGCTGCACCCAACTGGAAAATGCATAATGTATGCAATGTGCGGATGCGTAAAAGTGCCAGGGGTTGTGCGTGCAGGGAGGGAGTGGGGGAACACAATACTGTTCCAGTGGAAGGCGATTGTTTGACGAGGTGTTTGGTAAAAAAAAAAAAAAAAAAAAACCGTCACTGCATAATGAGAATCTGATGAGGAGGCAGACCTTGACTTACATGATGCAAGCAGGGACATGCCTCCGATCAGCCCTTCCTCACCCAGAGCACCATGATAAACAAAAAAACCAGCTCGTCTGCAGCATTAAACAACTTTAACCCCGGTGAGCTTTCTGGCAACTTAGACGCACATACAGGTGTTTACGGGGCAAAAGCAGCAAAGTGAAAATGGAAAACATAAAAACGTGCACAAAAAAATAATCCCCACCCGCCGAAAATGAAGGCAGTGTGGAGAGTGCGCGGTGTGCCAGCCCCGAGTATAAACAAAAGGCACAAGTCAGGTTTCCTCCACGGGCTCCCTGCGCAGCCCTGCCCGGGCACAGGCAGCTCTGACGGGCCTCCGTGGGTGGTGGGAACCCGCTCGGTCGTTGTGCAATCGCGCCTCTCGAGAGCACTCTGCAACAACTACTCACCATACGGATCCGTAAGCGCCGGAGCCGACGGGAGCTAAGTGCTGGTAGCGCTCCGGTACCTCCCACACGGTTTTGTTGAGCTCCTGTCGGTAGAAAGTGGGTCTCTCCTTCTGCGACATTCCTGCGGATTCACCAGCCCCGCAGCGACAAAACAAGCCAGCGGAAACTTCTGCCCTCTCTCCTCCCCGTGCGGCACGACGTGGTGTGGTGCTGCTCTCCAATAAAACTCAACAAAACGGGGTCGTTGAAGCGAGAAAAACTTGAGCCGCCCGGTCGTGCAGATTCGGTGCAGTTGTGCAGGAAAAAAAAAAACAACAACACACAGAGATCTCCTCCTCTCCGTGCACGGCGGAGCGCCCCGGAGACAACTTCCCGCAGAAAAAAGGCGCTGGGGTCAGGAAGCTCAGTCTGGCTCTCGCTGGATTTTTCGCCCTCTTCTGTTCTCGCTTTGCTGTGTGGGGGACGCGCGGAAACGCGAACGCGCACGTCGCTTCGTCACCGCGCGCGCGCCCGCTATTAATCATTTTTCTCGCGAGAAATCAGTCGCTGTTGGGAAACCAGGGGATATCCCGTCACCGCCGTGGACAGGAGCGGGAATCTCCCTCTGTCGATCGCCAAACATGTTTCACCTGATAACATGTACATCAGACACAACGACACAATGTCAATAATCATGTCACGACTGAAAAGAACAACAGCAACACGAACAAAACAGTTCGTACTGTCATTTATCCATATGTTTTAATTTACATGCATCTATTTTCAATATTGTTATTTATCTAGCGCACTCATATTACACAGTTTATTCTGTTTATATACTTACTGTGTTCATACCACTCTGTTCTAGTGTATATCCCAATACCGCATTTACTATCTATCCTCAAATGTATTCATACCCTTCCATTAAAGAAACGGCTTGTCAAATAACAAGAAACTGAAAAAAAGTAATAACAAGTAAAAATGTACTAAATTATAATTTAGTGAAATAAGACATTGCTATTGAATTGTGGCTGAAAAGAATAATTTTTGGGGGAAAAAAACAACAACAACAACAACACTTTGCTGATGAGCAGTGGGCCAGAATCCAAATACCTGTCAACAGGTGCAGAAGTCTGATTGAGAGTTACAGAAAACACTTGATTGCAGTGATTGGCTCAAAGGGTTGTTCAACAAAATATTAGTTTATGGGTCCCATCATGCTTGTTTGCTTGTTTTTGTTTGTTTTAATATTTCTGTTTGACCACAATTCAAAAGCAATGTCATGATATTAGTTTTTTTTCTTTTCATTTATTATTATTTTTGTCAATTTCTACTTATTTCAGTGACAGCTGTTTTTTTGTCCTTCTTTAATGGGAGGGTATGAATAAACTTGAGGATGACTGTACGTCTTGCGTGGTGACCTGCACTGTCTATACTGTTAATACTGCTCATTTCAGCACCTTCATACTGCCCTTAAAGCTATTCTACTTAGACATTTTACACTGCACTGCACTTTACTTTCTTCTGCTTTTAGTATTTGTAATCTGTGCAATGACAATATAGCTGAATGTAATCTAGTCATCCAATCTAATAACAAACTGCTCATAACAATGTTCACATTTGATCACAGTGCTGCAGTTTTCTTTACTTATCAACAAACACAATCTTCAATATCAAAGTTAAATATTTCTGACTGCCTTTTGTTACGGCACACGCCTACTTCAGACCATCTTTTGTTTTTACTGTGAATGGAAACCACCTGTATGTCAACAAACTGCGACAAGTTTCTGTACTTTAAATACACCGAAAACTCCAAGATATCTTCATTGGTCTGTTTCTCACTCAGAGCTGAATAGTAATGACATATAAAAACTTAAATCAATTGTAATGACAGGAACAACTCTTTTTGAATCTCTAACTCTAAACATCTGTATGTACTGTGTATCAAATAGCTATTCCTGTTCTATTTCAGCAATGTTGCTCTCTGTTTCATTTACCTGCCGTCTACCCACCTCATACACTGTGTGTGTCAATAACCTTCTGTTTATTGTTAATAATGTTAGGCTATTTGCTCCTCTAATCAGAATTCTCACTACACATTTGGTTCACTTTAAACATCCAGAGCTTGATACAGTAGTTAAACACTCATTTTCCTATCTTTAACCTGCTGCCATTGTTTAAATACACGTGTTCTTTGTGTAACTACTCTGAGAGCAAAGAAAAAAAAAATACATTCAGTCAATTCCTTGCATGTGTAGGCCTACACACACTTGGCCAATAAAGCTGATTCTGAAAGAAATATTACACACCCGTCTTTCCATGGAAGAAACTTTTACATGTCGTTGCAGGAAAACCACAGGTATATATTGTGAAATATATGATGGCAAATTTGATTTAGCTACTTCTGTTTCAAGGTCCCGGTACTGAGCTTGCTGAGTCATTCTCACGCTGTCGCAACTTAAATGAATACACTGAGCCAACATTAGCATTATTCATACCTCCTGTGCTTTTCCTGCTTGACAAGTGAAAATGTTGGCTGTAAAAAAAGATTCAAACAGTGACATAGAAAATACCAGAGCACAGATACAAGACAATTTTCAAAGCACTTAATGTCCCTCAGAGTACAGATAGCAATACATATTAACTTAGATTATTTCTTATCAAGCGCAGTTGTAAATCTGAATGAGAACGTCTGTAATAATGGCATGTGTATAGGCAGTACGGAAGAAAACCACAGCATACACTAGTTGCTACTTGTCAGAGAAATTGACATCATGCAGAAAGCATGTGGGAAAATGAAAAACAAAAAGTGAAAGAGAGTTTACTGGTCTAACAGAACTAAATCATGCCACGATGCATGCTGGGGGCAGAGTGGTGCTCTGGGGACTTCTCTAGGGGTTTTCTTCAGCAGACTTTTAAAAGGCATGAGGGGTGAAAAGGAAATCGGTGTAATTTTGGAGGCCACACTGACATGAGATAATGAGAGATGAGTTATGATCCTCAAGCACGACGATGATGCTCATACCTGAGAAGTCCCTGATTTCCATTTAGTTTTTGTGGCACACACTGAAAACTGCCAATATGTCTTCGCAAAGCTCAAGCAGCACTGTCTGCGAAGGTGACTCAGATCTATTCACACACACACAACATACTAGATTTCTAACTGAGCAGAAGAGTGCATTGGATTTACCACGTTGGTGATTATCTACTGTGATTCACGGCTGTAACTCATTAAAACATGAAACTCTCCAAAGAGACTGTCGTGAATATATTTTAAAGGTACCAAACTTAAACCTTGACATTTGTTTCTGGAAAGACAACCAACACAGAAATCGTATGATCAACATTTTACTCAAAATTTAATTGCATCCCCTCCAAAAACAATTTCTTGTTTTAATAATACAAATAAGGTGGTGGAAATAAAGTCAGAATAACAATGTAACTAAAATGGCATGAGAAGCACCATACCTATTTGGCATTGCTTTTAAATCTTCAGGCTATCCAATTCCCACAAATTGTTGATATGAGCCTTTATTAGACTTATTTCTCCTCTCTCTGTAAAACTCTACAATTTTGATAGAACTTTGACTCCTAAGTGATTTGCAGTCCAATTTGTGACATTAAAAACATGTTTTTCAGTATACAATAAGATGACAAAGTATATACAACATACACCTGTGCAAAATGTGTATTTCAAACCTAAAAAAAAAAAGTTTGAGATGTCAGATAGTATTATTAAGAAAAAAAAAAAACAGATCCAAAAAAGCAAAATATAGTGTACACGATGACATCTTTATATATTAGCTTTGTTTATCTTGCCCTCCACCATTGCCAGAAGAAGTGATACAGAAGAAAAACAGCATAGCTGGGAGCGAGCAGAATTGATCATTTTCAGTTGGATCACACATAACCGCTAGCAAATCTCTATTGGTATTTTTTTTTTTCCAAATATATACATCTAGGCTAATTTTAAGTTGTATACAGATATAAGGTATAATGCACACACCGCCCTTCGATCTTCGGCATCCTTCAATATAAATAATGATGTGGTGTGGATGTAGACAACAAACAGTATTATCCAATAACAGAAAGATACCATGTGCACTCACAGGTTCTCTCCTCTGTAAAAACTGTGGAATAGATTCACGATGCCCTTCATGGCTGTAGTGCACACCTATTATTAAGGGAGGAGTTATGTATCCAGTCATCAGAAGGGGGCAGCACTGGCTTGACGTTCACATGGGTCCACAGGCTCACTGGGGTTTCATCTGTCATATAATCCAAGAGGTGTCCCATAACAAGGATTGATACATGACCACAGAGACGAGTCCATCCCCGGCCTGCACCCGCTCAGTCCTTTCCAGTCCAGTCTGAGTATCATTTCAAGAAGATAACATAGAAGGCCATGACCAAGCAGGAAGCTGCCACGGCAATGTGAAGTCTCGTCCCGATTACTGCAGCTGAAAATGAGAGCGCAAAGGCAAGTGAAGAAAATTGCAGGTCAACGATAAGCACGGAGAGCATACGGAAGGAGAGCAACACTGTAAACAAATGTGCATCATTTAGTTGCTTTAAGTAGTGATAAATAAACTCTCTCCAACAGATACACAATGTACAGTGCAGTTTTAGTGACACATTTTATGTTGTTTGGGTTTTGTACTCTAAACTATTTGGTCAGAAATAAAGCAATGAATGAGGTTGAAGTTCACACCTATATTGGGTGAAGTGCTGAACTTGTTGCCATTTACAGCAAGAAAACAATTATCTCTCAGTATAGAGACAAGAAAACCAAGGAGGATTTTGTTGACAATGTGTTGACCATGACCATGCATTATCTAATATACATGTATACGCTCTAATTTTGGGTGGTGGAGAAAAAGATAGAACTATTTTTTATGAAAATATCAATGTGTTTGGTGACAAGTACATTTTAAACAAATTCAATCATAGAACTATCTGTTTTTGGTAAATCCAGCACATGAGGAATCAAGGTACTTTATCAGGCTGATTGATGGAAAGATTCTGTAAGTCAAAGAGTAGAGTTATTTTGCTAAACTGTCTCTAATGGCAGAAATAGCTAAATTGTTAAAACTGAAAGATAAGGACTTTAACATGGGACAAATCTCTCCTGGCACATGGTTTATTTTGTCTCACCCAACCCTATTCAGTTATGCATTTGTTTCCATTGTGCTGGAGTGCAGCGCAAACAACACAAGACGTGTTAACACAGCAAGAGGCTCCAGGCTGCTGATATTAGACATATATAATTTGCAATGGCTGCTAACGTCTTAACAATTAATCAATTTCAAATCGAAACTGCAATTTAAAACAACACGATTAGCAAATTGCAAAGGCTGCAATTTAGTATATTTGAGGTGTGGCTACTACATTGAGATTAATGCTGTCATTCATCCAACTATCCATTATCTATACACTGATTAATCCTCTGTAGGGTCGCTGGGGGGGGCTGG